CAGTAGTCATATTACTCTCCACTGTAACTGTATCTCCAATAAACTCAACTTCTTTGACTAAAACACTAGCTTCACAGATGTTCTCTTCTGTTGCTTCTTCAAATGCTGTTGAGTCAAATGTTTTGTTTTCTAAGTGTCGTTCTGTGTCTCCCTCTGCTGGCACTATTTCAACATCTCCAGTATTTTCCTGGGACCCTGCATGAGTTTTTGGGAGGGTTTGTGATTCTGAAATGTCACAGATACTCACTGCAATATACCTAGATTCATCTGGACTGGGTTCATCCTCCAAGCTGAAGATTTCTTTCTCATTATGTTCTTGTCTTTGTCCTTTATTCCCTTTGAGAGGTCTACGAGTTGAGCCCATTTTTCTCTTATGAATAACTGGACTTGATTTTGAGTGTACCTCTTCTCTGTGAGAAACTGTAGGAATGATGCTGATGTCACTTTGTATAAGAATTGTGTCTGTTTCTCCTGAAACTTTTTCCTCAGCATTTTCAGATATTTTCAATGCTTCGATGTGTGCATCAGGAGAAGTATGAAGAAAATCTGACTCCGTAGTCATATTACTCTCCACTGTACCTGTATCTCCAATAACTTCAACTTCTCTGACTAATGTCACACTAACATCATTGATGTTCTCTTCTGTTCCTTCAGCTTCACTAGTTGTTGAGTCAAATATTTTGTTCTGTGATTCAATTTTTAATTGTAAGTCTTTGTCTTCCTCTGCTGCCACTTTTTCAGCATCTCCAGCATTTTCCTGGGACTCTTCATTCAGTTTCATGAGGGTTTGTGATTCTGTGATGTGACAGATACTTATTGCAATGGATTCCTCAGATGTTAAGTCTGAACTACATGATGACTGCAGGTCAGCGGATTCAGACCCTTCAACAGGACCAACATCATTCTTCTCGCATACTTCCATCTCCTGTTCTTTAGCTCCATCTTTTAAACTTTGTAATGTAGATTCATCTAGACTGGGTTCATCCTCCAAACTAATTGTTTCTTTCTCTACATTGATCATACCTTCACTGTCAGGTGTCTCATTTTCATCATGATGTTCTTTTTCTTTTCTTTGTCCATGTTTCCCTCTGAGAGGTCTACGAGTTGAGCCCATTTTTCTCTTGTGAATAACTGTGAATTCTGAGTGTGCCTCCTCTCTCTGAATATCTTCAGGAATGATGGTGGTGTCACTTTGCTTGGGAATTGCATCTGTATCTTCCTGAACTTCACACTCAGCATTGTCAGATACTATTAATGCTTCCTGTTTTGCATTAGAGGAAGTGTCATTTTGAATAAAATCTGACCCAGTAGTCATATTACTCTCCACTGTAACTGTATCTCCAATAAACTCAACTTCTTTGATTAAAACATTAGCTTCACAGATGTTCTCTTCTGTTGCTTCTTCAAATGCTGTTGAGTCAAATGTTTTGTTTTCTAAGTGACGTTCTGTGTCTCCCTCTGCTGGCACTATTTCAGCATCTCCAGTATCTTCCTGGGACAATGCTTGAGTTTTTGGGAGGGTTTGTGATTCTGAAATGTCACAGACACTCGCTGCAATATATCTAGATTCATTGTCCAAACTGAAGATTTCTTTCTCATCATGTTCTTTTCTTTGTCCTTTATTCTCTTTGAGAGGTCTACGAGTTGAGCCCATTTTTCTCTTATGAATAACTGGACTTGATTTTGAGTGTGCCTCTTCTCTGTGAGAATCTTTAGGAATTATGCTGTCACTTTGCATGAGAACTGTGTCTCTTTCAAGTAATACTTGCAGGTTTGTATCAGAGGATGTATCAGTTTGCTCCTCTGTTAATTCTCTGTTTTGCTCTGGGTTTTCTGATTCACTATCATTATACACAGTGTCCACATCTGATATCACAATGGGTTCTGCATCCATCTCCTTAATTCCTTCTGTTCCTTCACTTCTCCCATCGCCTCTATCAAAAGCTGCATTCTCAGATTCTACACTGAAAAGTATTCCTTCACTTTTCTCATTCACATTTTCATGTGAGTCATAGCCTTCTTTATCAGGAGATTGCATGAAGAGTTGTTGGTGTGCGCGAGATCTTGTATCTGTTGCTGAGTCTTTAAAACTAAACATTTCCTCTGTCTTTGAGGTCACACCATTACCTGCAGCAGTCTCTTTTTTGCCTTTTCTAACCTCATCAGTTTCTAGCATCTTCCCAGCATCATCTTGTAGTGGACTGTGTGTTTGAGATCTATTCGATGAATATTGCTCTTTTTCCTTATATAGCTCCTCTTTTTCAGCTGAAACTTCACACGGTTTCTGGTGTGAAATCCAAATGGTCTCTGTGCTTGTTTCTCCGTCTTTTTCATTATCTCTTACATCCATTATTATTTGTGTTACATTGTGATCTCTTACATCACCCTGGCCTGTAATTTCAAATGCATTGTCTGTTTCAGATCCTCTTTGATCACTCGTATTCTCATTTTCTCTCGCAGCTAAAATTTGGGGATCTTTATTTTCTTCCAAAATACATTCTAAATCAGTCAGAGTATCACATGTTACTGAAGCAACATCACAAACATTACTTTCTTGTTTAATTTCCATATGAATCTCTTGCGTTTCATCAACAGCATCACTCATCTCATGTGGTAAATTGGTTGCTGTGGGTTCTGCATGGCTAATATTAGGCAAAGGCACATCATAACTTCTACTTCCTCCCACTATAAGTTGAGCCATAGAACAATCGCAGTTATTATCTAGAGTAGCTATGTCATGTTGCTTTAATGAAGATTCTTGATCATTTATAGAAAGTTCCTCTTTCTGTTTTAAAACCTCCTCATTGGCTTCTGTGTTTACATCTCTAAAGTTGTAAGATGTGTTTGTATCTTTTCTTGTATCAGGCACATGTTGGCTGTTATCACTTAAATGACTTTCTGCTTCTTTCCAAACTTTGTTTACAAAATCCTCAGTGTGTGAACCAAACTTAAAACCCAATCCCTCGTTGAGTAATGGAGTTCCATGGTGGCTAGATGTTTCAGGTAGGGGCTTTTCTGAATCAACAAGGGGAAAAGCAACTGATTGGTTCATAGTTTCAGTTCCTGCTGAAACATCAGGCTCTTTCAGCTCAGCTCTCTCAGCCAACAGAGACTGATTTAAAACCAAAGCTGATTCTGTGTGAGACGATGAAACATCTCTTGCCACATCATCCCATGTTTGCGCCATCTCTTCTGACATGAACTTTGCTTCGCCTATGACTTCTGCTTTACTTCCATTCTCTGTCATGTTTCTTGAATGTTCTTGCACACCTACATTGTCACTGTTTTTCCCTCCGAGAGGCCTGCGGGTTGAGCCCATCCTTCTTTTTTGTCCAGAGGTACTGGCTATTGGGATTTCTTGGTGACTAAGTGTTTTTGGTTCATCAAACATGACTGAATCCTTCCGCAACAAATCACTTTCAGCTACTGTGACATCAATAGAATGGACAGATGGTACCATTTCCTCGTCTATAGGCATATCACTTACAACCTCATGTGAATAAGATGTTATTTCTTGATAGTGGATTGCATCTTTTTCTTCATTTTCTAAAACCGCAAACATAAGAGTTGTTCTAGGCTCCTTTCTCAATCTAGAACTTTTTGTCTGAAGGGATAAATCAGAAGGAAACCTCATTGACCTTGATTGTTCTTCTTCTGTTAGAGAAGCATGTTGTTCCTCACTGGTTGATGTGTTTGGTTGAGTTACATATTCTTCATCTAACTCTCCAGTGGTCCTCACTTCAAGTTTTCTTTCAACTTTAAACCTACCAGTACTCTTGCGTGTTGATCCCATTTTTCTTTTCCGTTCTGACAGTTCATTCTCCATGAGTGAATCCTTGTGACCCCTTGCATGTGGAGGACATTCTAATGCAGATGTTTGTTGATCAACGCTTGAGCTTGGTGGATGATCAAACTGGGTTGAATGGCAATCAGTGGAGGTGTGAAATTCATTTAGCCCATCCTCAGACCCATCATCATCTTTCTCGATATTGCTGTTAAGACCTTTAGGACCTCGTCGAGATGAACCAAGTCTCTGGTTCTTCTTGGATCTTCTGCCTGACATGACTGTTCATATGATGAGACAAACAATGGAGATGAGTCATTTCTAAACATCTTTGACACTTAAGAACATGATTAAAAAGGAAACCAGAGAGCATTAGTGATGTGGCCCATGTATGACTCATACCAACCGTCACACATGTGCTCTCAAATCATTGATTCCACTAAAGACTTTTGCTTGTGATGATACATAATGACAGTGAAAATCAGACCACCCTAACAAGCTGTTTTATATACTAATATACTAGATAGATATAAGGTCAAGAGTTATATTTTCAATATATAACAAATGTTTATCAAAAAAACAAAACAAAAACATGACACTTGCCATCACACATTTAATTCGTACCGCATGGACGAGTAATGACAGTCTGCTCTGCTTCCATACATCCTAACGTGCTGATTATTTATTCAAATTATTTAAAAATATATTTAAAAAAAATATATGTGTAAATACACGTTGTTGGACGGATGAATATTTTGTCATGTCTTTACTCAGATGTTCGCAATGTGAAAACAAGACATTCCGCTCAACTAAATACCATGACTAAGTAATCCAACGTCAATATGGATAATCTGAGGATAAAACCACGTAATTTGCATGTAAAATTTTGCATTTACAAATGCAAAATGACAAAGCGTAAATGTAAGACGTGCCCCCTACAACTTGTAACACTACTAAAGTACCATGATAAACTGATGTTACCTTCTGATGCCCCTTTCAGGGATCCATTCACTTTGCAGTCCTGGGTGTTTTAGCAGCGCAGTATTAGTTGCCTGTGTTTCTCTTTTGAAGGAGGCTCAGTTCATGCAGCTTCCTTTTTACTGCTACCCTCAACTTCCTGTGTTATTGACACAAACTGCATTATAAGTGTGACCTTGAAGTATATATTTCATGAAGAGAATTGATGATCGTTCTTACTGCGTGAACGACGTAAACAATTTTTTCTCTTCCTATTTTTTGATAGCACAGTCTAAGTGCATGATTGAATTTTTTTATCTTTTTGAGTTTTGCTGGCTCTTTAGTAAACATTTTAAAGCTTAGAAATGCAACCCAATAGCCTATGATACGATTTAAAACACATACTATATGATGCAGTCAAATGAACCAAAATAGGTTCACAATAAGCAGCATTTTATTTTAACTTGAAATTCCTTCCTTCAAAAAAAGCCTTTACAATAAGGTTTAACATTTGTTACATCATTAACGATTGTTGCAGCATTATAGGTTAGTTACTTCATAAATATATTGTTCATTACTAATTCATGTTTGTTAACAATACATTGTTTATTCAACTTGAAATAATGCATTAGTACATGAAGAAAATTATCATAACCTATATCATAATTGCTAGTTCATGATACCCAATATCAATACATGTGATAATGAATTGAACCTTATAGCAAAAGGGTTACCAAACTCTTTACTGCAAGTAACATCTGAACAGCTAATCAGTGTGAACTGTAGAGAAAAGTCATACAGTGATTTCATAAGGAACTTCTTTTAATGGAAGTACAAACAAAAAAAGCATACAAAACTGGTCACAAATGACCATCTAAGTCAGACATCCCATTCAGAACTTTTCACTGCCCAAAGAGCATAAAATTACATTCAGGCATTTAGGCAGGATGCAACCATTGCTACCCATTAAGCACAGATATCTTAAGTAAAAAAGGATAGTCAGAACACTATGGGGAAGATACATTTTAAAAACACTGGGGGCAAAAAAAAATCCATCACTGTTTCCAATCATCCTGGTCTGTTGAGGAGAAGCGCACAGACATGCTTTCTCTGATGAGGCTGGCCTTGAACATTTCTCACTTCCGACCATTGGAACGTGAACGACTGAAAAGAAAGACAAATTACGTCAGCATAAATGTAAATACTCTAGCTGTGCCATTACACAACTACTCACAAGTGTAAACCTACCTGCGTGATCTTGAGAAAGACTTTGAAGGTTTATAGTTTCTATCGCGGGACAAAGACCTCTCTCTTCTCCTCTCTCTGGAAAGTGACCTATAAAAGTCAAGTAAACACGTAAGAATATATGTTATAGTTATCTCATTACTAAGGAGCTGTAAGATGAGATGCAAAGTTAGTTTATATCCATAAGAATAGCCATAATTAAAAATGGAAACGTGGTTATGGTGTTGACATTAGTTGCAGAAGGGTTATAAAAACATTTAAGCAACTCACCTGCTCCGACTACGACTAAAGCTCCGCCTCCTAGGAGACCTAGATGCAAGAAATACTGACAAGTCAGGGGTCAATATGGCCAAAAAATATTCATGATGCATGAAGCGTCACGCAATAGTTTTTGGAGTTGATACCAATTGGCCTTCAATTAAGTTTTTATGAAGCCCAATATGGGTCAACATTTTTCAAAACAACTATCATAAGTGCCTGTTCCATATTCATTTGCCAAACCTTTGTGCATTGATCAAAAAGGTTTCAGTATGAAAACTACTGAAACACAGAGGGCTGTAAATGTATTTTGATTAAAAAACAAAACAAAAAGTCACTCTTTGGATATCGTATTATACATATTAACATCAGGAAAAAGGTTATACCTCAAAACCACCAAATAAACAAATTTCAATGTCATTAAGCGGGAGGAAAAGGCATTAACTTACTATTTTGTTTTCAACAAGCTAGTTATGATGCAGTGAAGCTGAGTGCTGGTCAGGAGGGTGTAATTTGCGGGGAGATTTTGCCAGATGGTTTCTAGATGTTAACAGCTATACAGTAGGTGGCTGAAGATGTCAGCTAGATGAGGACTGCTGAGGATATGTTGTCATGTAGACATTTGGGGAGGGGCATAAGACCCGTTGATTGGTTGTAAGTGTGGCGTGGTTGGTTTTGCCGATCAGGTTAACGTTGGAGGAGGTGAAGGAGCCTGAGAGAGGCATGCTCAGGAACCAATGGGCTGGTGGCCATGCTTGGATCATGTGAGCTGATTGGTGTACGCTGGTCAATTGATGCTGAAAGAGGGCTAGTTGACTGACTCAGAGGAAGATGAGTAGAGGCTTGGTGATGTCTCTGAAAGGGGGGGTGGGGTGGTCAGCTTCATTAATATAAATAGAAAAATGACATAAAACCCAAACAATGAGAAGATTCTTCGGAAATCTGTAACTACAATTCAATTATAATGAATATTCCTGAGCAAAAACTCAATGCACTCATTTAGAATAGAGAACATCGGTAGAGGGGAATGAAGCATTGGCTAACCAATCCAAAAGCTGAAAACTGATCAGTGCAAGGACAGCACGTGGAAGGTTTTCGAACAGCTTGCCCAAATTTATGAAAAGATGCTGGCTTTGTCAGTCTCCACACCTAGGCTCATCATTCTGCCCATAACTAAGCTTGAGGTGAAAGGGTTTTTAAGACATCTAGCCTTGTTTGAGAGCAGAAAAAGAAACCTTACCGCCGTCTAGTGGGTGGGCTGCGGCGTCTATAATCATCACGAGGGCGACGATTCCAAGAAGGGGGTGGTCCTCGATACCGTGACCGTTTTTCACCACTGGACATTTCAACTCTCACTCGACAACCACACAGTGTTCTGAAGCAGACAAATAAAAATATTTTACAGAAAGAAATAGCTGCATTATACTGATGACTTTTTTTTAAAGGGGTCATATGATGCGATTTCAATTTTTCCTTTCTCTTTGGAGTGTAACAAGCTCTAGGTCAATTTTTCCTTTCTCTTTGGAGTGTTTCAAGCTGTTGGTGCATAAAGAAGATCTGTAAAGTTGCAAAGACTAAAGTCTCAAATCCAAAGAGATATTCTTTATAAGTTAATTGTCAACCACACCTACCTAAAACGGCTCGTTCTAACACGCCCCCACATGTCTACGTCACAATGTGGGAAGATTTGCATAACGCCGCCCAAATGTTCACGCAAAGAAAGAAGGCGTAACTTTATTCTCGCTGTAGTATTGTCGTTGCCGCCGCTGCCGCCATGTCGTGAAGGCGCTGTGTGTTTCCTTGTGAAAGCGAAACTACTTTGTTTGGCCTTCCAAAAGAGGACGATATCCTCTTTTGGTCGTCGTCACATGTGGTTGCCGCAAGCCCGCCGGCCGCCGCTCACTCAAGCAAACGCATTTCATTACACCAAATAATGTTATTTTTAGCAACATCACATGACCCCTTTAATAGCATAAACAATGGTTGCGTTTGCACTTGGCATTAACATGCGATCAGCTCATCAGTCAATCAGGACACGGTGCATTTACACTTGGCAACATCAAGTGACTTTTCTACCTGGATAACCGATCAGATCTCTCATTCCCGCGCAATATTTACATAAGTCTTACACCGTGTCTACACCGGACGCGAGTAGCGTGGTGCGCCACAACAAAATACTATAGAACCCATTATAATCAGTAATGCGGTCTACACTGGATGTGGCACGACACGACAAATCCCCGACAGTAAACTGTTGCCTCTTTCTATTTATCACTGACACAAAGTTAAAATAATTCGCAATGGTCGCTTTATCGCGTCCAGTGTAGACAGCCTCAAGCTGTTGCGGGACGGTGTGACAACTGTCACGTCCGGTGTAGACACAATGTTAAGTGTGCGAGTCTCACTAGCCCTCTACGGCCTGGTGTCCTCCATCTATCTTCTGACAGTTCGGGCGAGAGGAGGGGGATGGGGTTTTACGTGTTGTTGACCTACGAATGCAGACATGATGGCTGGATTGCGTTTACATTACCCTGAGATCCGATCACAATGTGTCCTCGACTACCTCAGGACCAGGACACACTGATCGGATAACATTCCGATTAGAAGCGCGTTTACACTTGTCTTTTCAATGTGTATGTGGACGACATCCGGGATACAGGTCGCATGTTAATGCCAAGTGTAAATGCAGCCAATGTATATTTAATTTTTTTATTTAGTTTTAATTATTATTTCATTTCAAGCAATATTATCATTGCTCTGTATTAAGTGTTGTATGCCTATGTTGTATCATCTCTTCTAGGACACTAAAATGGATCAAATGTTGCCTGGCAACTAGCTTCATGGCCTAATGGTTAGAGCGTGGGACTTGTGACCCAAAACTCGCGGGTTCAAGTCTCGGGATTGTAGGTGGGGAGAGTGAATAGGCCTGTCACGATAACAACTTTTTGTTGTGCGATATATTGCCCCAGAAATAATTGCGATAAGCAATATTATTGTAATTTTAAATACCGTTTTATGCCACTGAATATATAATCATAATGTAACCACATAATAATGCAAGAAGGCCAACACAATTCCAAATGACAACAAACTTAAATTTTTTAAGAATATTTAGATTATGGAAATTAAGTATCAAAATATTAGATACCTTAAAAAACCTGAATAAATAGTAAATAATTTTCTAACAAAAAGTGCAAAGTAGCAAGTACAAAAAAAGAAAAATTCACAAAGAACTTGTATGGAGATTTTTCCATCTACAGATTTTTCCCTTATCTTCTTTTCTCTGTAAATTAAAGGTGCACACTATTCCTGAAAAACACAATCCCTACTTAGCAGTCAGATGTCCGTATGCACAAAGGCACAGATCCCTAAACAGATCCATTTGCAGATGAAACTTTTTTTTGTAGAAGCATTTTTTAAATGTGAACTAGCACCTCATGACTACACCACGTTATGTACGAGAAGCTGCAAAAG